ATGGACAATAAGTCGGGGTAAGTATGGATTTTAGTTGGATTCTCATTTATGAGTTGGGTTACGTTATAATAAATTGGGGTCGATTTAAAATAGGCCAGTATGATGAAATAATGAAATAAATTATTTTTTCAATATCATTTTCAAGTGTATCGGGTCAAAATATAAATCATAAGTGGTTTTATAGAAAATTAGAATTTTTGAAAATATCATTTTTATTATTTATTTGAGAAGGGTTTAAATTTGAGCCAGTCACATTAAGATATATAATAAAGAAATATTTAATAATTTTACTTTAAGAGAGCTATTAAAAATAAGGGTAAATATGAGTCAAAGGATTAACATCAAGGGTATTTTTGAGCCGAAAGGTAGACGTCAAGGGTATTTTAGGGCTGATAGGTGGTTGAAGGGTAATTTTGTACCAATTCAAATACTTGAGGGGTATTTTAGACCCTTCTCCGTATTTAAAAATAAGTATACTTCATGCAATATAATATAATTAAATTACAATCATTAATTTTAATACATTGTAAAATAAAATATTAACTTTATTAGGACATATGTTTTACCATAAATGTTTTCGTACGGCGCTCTACCAATTAAGCTTAGACTGACACGTCCATATACTTGGCGATATCTTTTTTCTTTTTCTTTTTTTTCTCTTTGTTGCTCGCAAACCCTAAAAATCGAGAGTATATATTAAATTTGCTTAGACATGCGAAAAATTCATATTAAAAACTGACATCAACACTAACTTTTATGAAATGAAATTGGTGAAGTTAATTTGAGTGGGTGGATTTTTTTTTGTTTCCAATTGCGTCTGGTGGTTAAAAAAAATGATTTTTTGTTTTATTAAATATTAATCTGTTAATTAAAAGGGGCATATATGAGTCAGTTTTGTAACGGTAAGGACATATATGAGCCATTTTTTAAACAGATGGTATATTAGCTCCAAATCATAAAGTTTAAGGATAAATCACGACCTTTTCCCTTGTTTCAAAATAAGTGGAGTTAATTTTTCATTTTGTTTCGAAATACAGTGTAGAGTTTTTGATAATCAAGAAAACACTAATAATATTTCAATTTTATCCTCTCTTTTTTAAAATAATGAGAACCAAGAAATTACTAAAAAGTCACATTTTTTCAGAAACTTATTAAGAAGAAATTAATAAAAATACATCTTATCTATGAAAAAATCAGATATGCGAAAGAATTGTTGGAATTGTATATTTATGCAAGGGCAAATATGAGTTGAATTGCTAAAAATAAGTGTATAAGTAAACTAAACTTGGTATTTGACCTAAAGGTGTAAACATCGTGGCCTGCAAAGTCTTGGTATGAACACCAAAAGCAAATTGCAATAAAGATAGAGAATTGAGGTTATTTTTTGGTGGGGTTAGGGGTTCACAGAGTAATGCTCAATTATTGAACTCTAGATTTTTTCACAAAATAAATACGCCTTTTTCCTATTTTCTTTTTCTTTAACCTTTTTTAAATTATGTAGTTTAATTATATACTGCTAAAAAATATTGGACCCTAAGAAAAACAATACAAAGTCAATAAACTCACTCAATAAATATATGACGATGTACCATTCAATTTCTGAAACGTAGCACAATCTGAAAGAAAAACAGAAGAAGTATAAGTTATGTTATTTTAGAATTATTTCTTCAACCAAGCAGATAAAGTACTTGAATTTAATCTATGAAAATTGAAGCTCATTAATGCGTTGTAAGAATCAAAGCTTGTATTTTTTTTATTCGTGAAAATGAAGGAAGAAAAAGCAATACATATAATTATAAAGCCATACAAACACGCTGATCATGTACCATGCAATTATTTGTGAATTAAACTTGGCATAATCTCAACGAAAACAAGTAGTACACGTTTTTTCTACTTCTTTATACTTTTTAAAATAAAAAACTACTTCTTCAACTTTAATTTCAGATAACATATATTTGAATTTCACAATTTCTTTGTCTAGAAGATATTCATAAAAATTGTTAAGTAAAGCTGGATCTATCCTATAAAATAAAGATGAGAGTAATGAGTATCATTTAGAGTATCCTTTTAGTTAAAGATATAGAGTGACTACACCTATCCAAACAATCTCCTAAATGTGAATATATACAAATAACATCTGGCATGCATATTATTGTTGAACTATATATAGAATGGATTAGGAGGCACATAATTATACCCACTATAATCATATTGAATATGCACTTTTTATTTTAATTTTTTGTTGCTTTTTCTCTGTTTTATTTATTTACATTTCAAACCCCTTCTGGAAGATGAGCTGTAAATATCTTGTCCTAGAGCCGACAAAAGCCATTCTCTACTAGAAATCACAATTTTATTTTATTTTTAAATTGATAATAATCACATCTCTCTTTATCCGAGATTGATGTTTCATTAATATAATTGTTGCATATAATTACATGTTCTTAAATTATTTCTAGCTGAATACATATTGGATTTCTGATTTTGAATATGTCCAACTTTTAATTAGTCATGTTAAGTGACCTGGGAGAGGAAATGTGATGTTATTTCCTAAATCCTAATATGACTCGAACAATCTCAATTTCATCATTTAAGTTAATACTCTCTTCTATTTCTTTTTAGTAGTTATTATTTTCTTTTTTAGAATCAAACGATAAGAATTAATTACGTCTTGTGAACGTAGCTTTGATTTCAAAACCAAATAGCCCTAAGGTATGCTTTACTTTCTGATTGTAGTTTTTAAATCGAACATTACAAATGTGTTTACACTTTTTTTTAAAAAGAAATTAATTATTAGAGTAAAATGATAAAAAAAAAAAAAAAACGAATTCTATCTTGTATTTATAAATGATTAAATAATTTAAGATCACTATTTTTTTAATAATAATTTATAATAATATGATACAGATATAACAGTAATTAAATAGTACCACAATTCTTCAATAAAATAAAATTTTAATAAGCAATCAAGTGCATCAGTAAAATATTGTAAGTGTGATGTTTCTTCCAATAGAGGCTCAAGTAGACGACCAACGTAAAAAGTAAAGGAGTTGCTTTACAACCCACTAAATGTAACAAAAATAATTATAAACAGATATTAGTAAAGTAATAAAAAAGAGAAAGCCCACAGATTAAACACTATAACATGGTTCCACTTATGAACATAAAGACCATTTTGCTTTAGGAAAATTGGTGGAATTATCATATTGATTCATTATTGTCTTGATTAATTAATCGGGCCATTAATTTCTCTGACATAGTACTATAGTCCTGGCAACAATTAGAGTTTGGAGTATTTTGACAAAATAACAAATCAGGGTGGATATGTTAATTAGACTGTGTAAATGAATTTCCAAGTTAACTAATTTTCCCATTCTACATGAAATTAACTTTAATTAGCAAGTTTTCATTTTCAACCTTGGATAGTAAATACTCTCCAATTATTTTTTATTTGTTCATTATTTTTAAAATAGAATTTTCATTTTTATTTCTCACTTTTAACATATCAAAAAAGGATAATTATTAACTTTCATATTTTACCCTTCGCATTAATTGCATATTTAATAATCATTTCTCAAAATGTAATACTCCCTCAGTTTCTATTTACTTGTCCATTTATTTTACTTGACATACCTATTAAGAAAATAATAATTGATACAATGAGTTTACCATTTTACTCCTATTAATTGATACAATTCCAAAATCAATTTACTCATTCAAAATGTTCTACCTTTTTCAAAAATATTAACTCTCTAAATAAATTAAGAGTATAATAGCTAAAAAAAAATCTTGATTTGTCAAAAATAACAAAAAAAATGTCAATATTAGATAAGTAAAAAGGGACAGACGGCCAAGTAAAAATGTATATTATAGTAAAATATCCCCTTCAATCATGGTTTTAAAAGGCATGCATGATCCGAAATGAACAAGTAAAAATGAATTCGAAGAATATTATGTACTCAGGCAGTGGAGGAGCCATCTTACAATGAGGGGTTCATCCGAATCCCCTTCGGAGGAAAATTATATGATTTATACATGGTTAAAATATTTTTTTAGGTATATATAGTAGATGTCGAACCTCCATCGGCAACTTTGTGTGTCTATTTTTTTAGATTTTGAATCCCCTTATTGAAAATTCTGGCTCCACCACTGTACTCAGATAATGGAAAAATTACTTGGATGGATACCTTTTAATAAATAATTACTTATTTTAGCGATACTTTTTATTTATTACCATTTATAGCAATACATAAAAACTATATGTTAAATCTGCAATATGTATTAAAAGTGGATAATGTATGCAATATATATGTATTATAACTGTTTTTTTAAAAATATATTATGTTTTTTTTTGTAAGAAATTGACACATTGTATTATAAGTGTATTAAATGTGTGATAAATGTATTATCTATCAATAAAAATGGTATTATATATGAATAATAAATTGTTATATATTAAAACTCTATTATAAATATATTAAAAGTGATCAAGTGAAAAAAAATATTATTACTATAAATGATAAATATATTTTTAATATAGTATGTTTATGTAAGTTTTCCTCGGAATACCTACTTCTTTGGCCGAAAGAAAGGAATGATTTTTAACTTGCTAACCTACTCCATGTTACCTTTTACCTTTTGCTCTTCTTATTCTTGAGAAAATAACTACTCCCTCTATTTCAAAAAGAATGATCTTCTTTGCTTTTTAATCTGTTTAAAAAGGAATAATTTCTTTCTTTTTCTAATAACATTTTAATTTTAACTTTCCATGTGACATGTTTAAGACCACAAAATTAAATAACAATTTTGTACATTTAACGTAACTTTAATTTAGGACCACAAAATTCAAAAGTCTTCTTTATTTTCTTAAACTATGTGTCAAGTCAAACTAGATCATTCTTTGTAAAACAGAGGGAGTATGAGAGAAGGTTGTAACAAGTAGCCGACAATCAAATTAAGAGAGAAAAATTGTGGAACCACTTGAAAATTGTATACCGTAATCAAGAAACAAACGGGTATCATCACATTAATAATTTTCATAATTACATAAAAAGAGAAAATTAAGAGAAAGAAAATCCCGGGACAGAATGGAAACCAAAAATTAATTTGCAGTACTCAAAGCTCCCAATCTGCATGTATTATAAGCTCTTTCTATATATAATTACTGCCATGAGCTAATTAAAAAAAAAGGAAAGCATTAAGCAAAAGCAGATGCAGCCTCTCTTCTCAAATCTCTGTAGAATCGAGAAATGAATTCATCAGCTTTCTCATCAACGTGGCTAATCATGTCACCATTATCATCAGCTTCTCTTAATGGAAAAGGCGAATCAGTGATCCTCAATTGCCTCACCGTTGGAGTCCTCCCGAATCCAGGCAAAGCAGGTGATGCCGTTTCGCTCTGAAGCATTTCTAATGCCTTCAAAACAGCAGCGTTCATCATTGAAACATCGTCGTGTTCAGTCTGATTATGCTTATTAATGCGCTTGTTGAGGTGGAAGGGGAGATGGAAAGCAGGGCTGTTACTGCAGCTGAACTCGTAATACTCTTTCGAAGTTGATTCATTAATATTATTATTATGGCCCTGGAACATCAAATTTTGGAAGGCGGCTTTGCCAGCAATCTTACCACGTTTCATTAATAAGTTGAGATCGAACATTAGTTTCCTCTTTGATGATAATCCTTTCCTCAACATGAAATAAGCCACGCGGACTATCTTCCAGAACTTTTTCGCTATCACTGGCAATTTTTGATCCATTTTTTCTCTCTAATTAAGTACTCTCTCTCTATATATATATATATATATTCACGAGCAGTTTTTCTTTTGAATTGAATATTTGTTTGTTCACTTAAGAAGGAGAGACAAATATTGATGAAAATTTTAGAGGAGAGTTTGTTTTTGTGGTTTATGAGAAGAATTGAGTGAGTGGTATATATAGGGGGGTTTTCATATACAGAGGAAAAGGATGTAATGAAGTATTCAATATGTTTACTTTTTAATAAGTTGACACGTTTGGATTCGGACCACGTATAGTTTGAGTTTATTCAATATTTTATTAAGACTTCCAATTATTATAGAAGGAGTTGGTGATTTTCTAGGTCAATCAATTTTGTTAGGATCTATAAATTAATATACATATAAATTTAATTAATTCTGTAGTATAAGTATATAGGGTCTAAGGAAAGCTACTGGATTCGTCCAAATCCGTGAACCCCAGCCTTGCTCCGCTATTTGTATTAGTTAAAGGATGAAACTTCAAATTCGCTTAAGGGAGGATATCATCGATTAGCTTTATAAACTCTTAACATTATTTTCTTTTTCGATCTTCTCTTCTAAAAGTTTACCGAATACCTTAACAAGGAAAAAAACTCTTAAACATTAAGCAAACTCTTAAATATTCTTATGTCATTTTCACCCATCAAAGAAGCAGTAGTATTTTTCAACATAAAAATTTAAAAGTAGAGTGGCTGTTATACCACTGTTCATCTCTTTCCTGCCAAGACTTGACCTTACTTACCCACTCCCTTTTAGAAATTAAGTGACCTGGAAAGTATAGTACATACACTTTCTATTTTACAATTATTATAAGACTACAAAAGTGAAAATTACTCTCCAATAAGAAAGAAAAAAAAGTTTTTCCATTTTTCTGTTTTAGAGTTTATTTACATAAAAAAAAAATACACAAATCAAATTTCCCTTCCACTTTTTTTTTTCTTTCTTCTTTTTTTGTGCTGCAATTTTCTATTGAAACAGACATGTATGCTATACACAAGTGTAGGGAAAAAAGAGTTAGACTATTAGGAGCGGAATTCAACTTTTGAATATTTACTATAGTTAGTAGCTAGGAGTATCATTTAGAGTACCCTTTTTAAGTTAAAGATTTGAAGTGACTTCACTTATCCAAAATACAATCTCCTAATTAGTGTGAATATATATATACATCAAGCATTCATCCTCATCTTTTTTTACACAATTATTGTTGTACCATACAATGGATTAGGAGACACATAATATTATCCACTACTCATTCTTGTCCTGGAACTGTCAAAATGACCTTATCCACAAGAAACCACAATTTTTTTCTTAAATATATGATAATCACTTCTCTCTTCATCCGAGATGATGTTTCATTAATTTTATTGTTGTCTTTAATTATGCGTTCTAAAATTATTTCAAGTTGAGTAGATATTGGATTTTTTATTTTGACTATTTATATCCAAGTTAGTTTGAACAATTTTTGTTTTACCATAGCTAGTTTTTAAAGTTAACTTAGTCAAAGGTTCATTCGAGTCATATTCTCATTCTTATTCTTGGTTTATTACACAATAAATATTGAGATATCATGTTGAAACAGGTTGTTATTACTCTCATCTTTGATGTGCTAATTTTTAAATTGAATTAGTTCAAAAGTTCATTTTTTAATTGTGGTTTTGATTTCAAAACCAGCTGCTAGCCCTAATTAAGTATGGTTTACTATAGTAATTAAGCACCACAATTCCTCTCAAAAAACAAAATTTATAAAGCAATCAAGTTCATCAATAAAATAGTATATGTGCTATGTTTCTTCCAAAGGAGGTGCAGGTGGATGATTAATGTGAAAAGCAAAGGAGTTGCTTTACTAACCACGATAACTAAATAATAATTATAAATAGATATTAGTAAAGTAAGAAAAGAGAAATCCCACAGATTAAATGGAGTATAACATTTTTCCACTTATGAACATAAGACAATTTTGCTTTAGGAAAATTAGTGAAATAACATTGACCCATTAGTGACTTTATTGGTTAATCGGGCCATTAATTTTTTCTTTGACATAGTACAATTGTCCTGGCAACAATAGTAGTTTGGAGTATTTTGACAATGAATTTCCAGGTTTTATGAGAAGCAATGAATGGTATGTATAAGGGCCTTTTTATGCAGAGGCAGTGAAGTATTCTATATGTTTTTAAAGTTGACACGTTTGAGTCTTTATAACGAGTTTATTCAATATTTTAATGGTCCAATTAGAGTCTTTGAAGTCATTTTCACTCATCAAATAAGTTCGCCATTTTCCTCCTTCCTTGTAGATTGCATTAATAATTAAATAGCTACATATCAATGAAATGTCACAAAATTACTAGTTCATTGTAACCTGATCAAATACACAAGTACTCAACTTACCCTACAAGGATTTAGGATTAGAAAAACGGCTAAACGTTTTAGTTTTAAAATTTTAACTTGTAATATAGAATGTGCATTCGGTAACAATTTAATATAAAAAATAAAATATAAATCTTGAATACCTTAAGAATTTTTTTCTTTTAAAAATAGTGTCCATGCATAAAATTAGGCAGCTTTATTTATGATTATTTCCCACATACGAGAAATAAATATGGCAAATTGTAAGACTAATGAAATAAACTCAAAAAGAGAAAGCAATTCCAGAAGTAAACGCTATACCCAACACAAAAGAAAATTCAGCTTCTTTTGGCCTGGGAAAGAGGGATACAGAGAAGTGGTCATCATTAAATTCCACAATTAAATCTAATCTCTCTTTACTTATTTTTTTCTTAATTAATTTGCTAACGTCGATAAAGACATACTCCATTATAAAATAGAAAATCTATATATACTCTCTTGGATTCACCTGGCTCCCAAAAGTTTAATTAAGTTTTGAATATTCAGGCACCCCAAAAGTTCTATAAATGCAAATAAAATTTGAGAAAATAATATATAGTTATTCAAACCCACTCAATACATGACCATGTACCACGCTATTTATTAGATTATTCAACTTTTACATCTAAAATATTTGAATTTCAGAATTTCTTAACTAGCAGGAAAAAATAACGTCCGTTGAGCTAAGCTTGTTTTTGTAAAATGAGTAAAACAGGTCCTTCAAACTATGCATGTTATAATTAGAACCGTCATTTTGAAGGCTGCTAAAGGTAGGCAAAGTCAACGACCTTTTTTATTTGTTAAACTTACTGTCGTTCGTGTTTTTTATTTATTTCATGTCAAATTATTTGCCTAGTCATTTATAATAATTGCCCCAACAATGTGGTGCACTGGTGGAAGTGTTTCACCCTTAATCAAAGGTCTCGGGTTCGAGTTTTGGGTATGGAGAAAATTTTGTTGGCAGCGCCACCCTCGAAGGAGTCCTGCAGAGCTGCAATTCGAATTTAATCGGAGCTCTAGTATGAGATTCGAACACCGAATGGAAAATCCAAAAAAATTGCGTATATATGTCAAAATCTAAACTTTGTTAGGTCTAATTACCAATATAAATTGGAATACAATTTTAATACTTCAATAAAAATCTAAACTTTGTTAGGTCTAATTACCAATATAAATTGGAATACAATTTTAATACTTCAATAAAGAAAAATTATTATTTTTAACAATAGAAATATCTTAGACTTTAAATTAAACTATTCAAATTTTCATGTTATTAAATAATATTTTTATCATAAGATTCAAAGTAATATATTATAAACACATGGCCTATTATTAATTTTAAATATCACTAATAACGATACTATTGAAAGAAGAGGAAGCTATATAAAAAGAAGATTTTGGATAGAAGAACTAACTAGACTAATAAAGAAGAATTGTTGAATTTTGTTGAATGAATTTGATTTGGAATTGGAATGAGTTCAAATGTGCAAGATCATCCTATTAATATTTGTCTATGAAAAATTTTAGATTTCTAAAAACAAAAATCAATAACCCGGTTTAATAAACTTGCCAAATTATCAATGTCTCAATATCTTTCCTAATAATTTTGTTGCAAAAACTCGGAATAACTAGTAATTGTGTCTAGTGGGAGAAGATTAAGAATCTTGCTCTATGCTCTATCAACTGAGTTAGAAGCATTACAAAAAAAATTACCAATTATACAGAAATTTATCTGGAAATTCTATAAGAAAATCGACAACAAATTATGTTATTTTTCAATTTTCCAGCTAAAAAAATCTGACGATAAATTCTTTGTTGGTAAAATCTTTGTATATTGTAACAGTTCTTAAAAAATTGATAGTATATGGTTAACTAATTGATAAAATTATTTCTTCAATTTCTATCACGAACACAAGAACCACTTGCTTCAATAATATTAAGGAAGAGAAGTTTCAAAATAAAATTAGAAGATACTCAATATTTAAGTCTCAGTTATAATATTTAAAAATAAGTATACTTCATGCAATATAATATAATTAAATTACAATCATTAATTTTAATACATTGTAAAATAAAATATTAACTTTATTAGGACACATGTTTTACCATAAATGTTTTCGTACGGCGCTCTACCAATTAAGCTTAGACTGACACGGTCCATATACTTGGCGATATCTTTTTTCTTTTTCTTTTTTTCTCTTTGTTGCTCGCAAACCCTAAAAATGGAGAGTATATATTAAATTTGCTTAGACATGCGAAAAATTCTTATTAAAAACTGACATCAACACTAACTTTTATGAAATGAAATGGGTGAAGTTAATTTGAGTGGGTGGATTATTTTTTTGTTTCCAATTGGGTCAGGTGGTTAAAAAAAATGAAATTTTGTTTTATTAAATAATATTAATCTATTAATTAAAAGGGCATCTATGAGTCAGTTTTGTAACGGTAAGGGCATATATGAGTCATTTTTTAAACGGATGGTATATCAGCTCCAAATCATAAAGTTTAAGGATAAATCATGACCTTTTCCCTTGTTTCAAATTAAGTGGAATTAATTTTTCATTTTGTTTCGAAATACAATGTAGTGATTTAAATAATCAAGAAAACACTAATAATATTTCAATTTTA